ACAATGCTAAAGAAAAGAAGCAGCAGCTTGTATGCTTGTATATTCTAGCCCTTATTGCCATATTTCGATTTCTAAATAGACATGACAAAGCTTATCCCAGATAGCAGGCAACTGTATATATTCAAACATGCATTGATCAAAATGCAATATAAATGCAAACCACACACACACACACACATACACATTCATTAAAGTAGAACTTTGGTTAATAAGGTATAATGAAGGGAAGGAATTATCTGCCAGAATATGTGTGAGAAGTTATTATAAAAACCTCGGCATCATACATCATACTGACTAAAATGGGGATTTGAAAAGCCGTAAAGGTTAAGGGAATATTAACACACAAGATTATGCTGTTCCAAGACATCTCTGATCCTCAGGGGATTTTAGAAAACCCAGAAGGTCTATCTAGATTACATCAAAGATGGGAAGCTTACAGTTCAATGTGTAATTTTCTCCATAGGTATGTAGGGTATTATATTCATTTTTTTCTGTTTGGATATTCATCCATGTGATTATGTCAGTCACTGATGGAATTACCCCAAGAAAATATGATTATGAAATCTCCATTTGAAATCCTGCAAAACTATTAAAAGTGCAGGTTTGGGGAATCTTGGCCAAGATGTTAATTCCTCCAAGACAACTAGGATGACTTTCGGAGGGATTTGTATTAATGCTTAGCCCCAGAAGCAATGGTACCTGTGGGTATGTATTATGCTACACCTGGGAATAAACGCAGTCCACCCGTAGACCAACATGAAGAGAACAACTCGGACAACTCAAGCTTGATCAGATCTCTCAGGCATTGTTTGGATGTGTTGCTTTGTCCTTTGTGAGGACAGTGCTTACATCTGAATCTTTTCAAAGTGTTTGCTACTGTTCAGGAAATGGTGACACGCTCCTGGCTCTGCTCAGGAGACAGGGGAAGCGGCTGTCTTTGCTATCACCTTCTTCATGCAGCTTGTTCTTGAGTGACACCTTAGGAGCAGGCCCATCGGACTGGAGACTAATTACGTGACAATACTTCTCAGGAGGACATTACAGAATGACAGTCAGATCCAAAGGATGTAGATGTGTGAAATAAATAGGTAGATTGCAGGAGCCCAAAGCTGCAGTCAAACAAAAGTCCCTTAGAGGCTGCCTAATTCTGGAGGTACTTGGGAGGACCTTCGCCTTCCAGCCTTAGAGTCTGGCAGGCACTTGAAATTTGTGCATCTCCTGACCCTCCTTTACCTGAGCAGTTCAGTGCCTCACTCCTGCTCAAGTCTCACCAGGGAGCCTGCTGCCCCACAGCAGCCAAATCTCGCAGTTACGTATTGCCTGAAAAAGCTTCATACACTGACAATCTCATCGTCACAAAATACATAGGGACACAGAACAGAAGAAGGCAACGCTGACCATCGTGGCCAGTCCTCCACCACCAGAGACAACCAGAACATGAGCAGCAATTTAGGGCATAAAGGACTCAAGTAATAAAAACTTCCCCATTGCTGACAAATGTGCCACAGTCGGGGAAGAGAAAGCATTCCAGGTCATGCCAATGAGCTTCATCCCTACAACAAGAAGGACCATCACTTAACATGAAATTCTCGGCTAATTTGGATGGCTGCTCCTTCCAGGTCTCCCTTTCTCACTGGCCACTCTGTCCCAGCGGTCACCACGGGCTCAGGGAGCCTAACTCCCTACTAACACCCCAGTGTGCAGGCCAGCTCGTACTGCACGGGCATAACTGCCTGCTTCAGGTCTCATTTCTGAGGACCAGACTCACCCAGCCTTGCCACTGTCACAGCTCAGCTCAGCACTGGACTTGTCACGCAGGACTCTTCGCGCAGAGCAGTGGTAGCAGGCTGCAAATGTAAAGCTGTGTGCTAGTGGCTGAACAGCACGAAATAGTGCCCAGCTGCTCAACAGAAATATCAGTCATCCCTATGAAGTTGAATCAAGGAAAATTTCCTTTCCAAAGTGATTAGTTTAACTTTGAGCATGTGAGTAAAATACACCAAGGTGGCACTAAAAAGGTTTAAGATCTCAAACCCATCAGCTCGTCCTAACTCAACCTCACCCAGCCTATCGCTGCGGCCTCCCCAGTGCTGCAGGGGAGGGCAGTGAAGAACTGGAAACCAAAGTTCTACGTCTTCGGGGGCGGAAAGGATGAAAGAGGCAGAATAGCCCTTCCATTTGCAAACTTGGCCAATGACCAGGAGAAATTCTGAAATACAGGATTACTACAACAGAAATAAAATGCAAATAAATGTGAACACACAACAATCTCGTTTCAGTTCATCCTTTTCGGAATACTAAAGGACTTAACATTTCTTATTCTGGGATCAACCTTTTCCCTAAACTTTTCATCCTCAGTATAAAAAATGCATATTCCTTGTTCTCTATCTTATTTAGAATACCTTTACTCTTCAGATGCTTATATGCCATCTTCTGATTTCCTATTTAAATTAACCATAACCAATCTTGTACTGTGACTGAAATTCCCCCTTCCAATATATTTACAGAGTCATCACTTCCACTCTCATCTAGTTTTTCTTGCTTGCTTTCCAAACCTTGTTGAGAAAGAGAAGTGAAGAAAGCAAAATGCACAGCGCCAAGGAAAGCAAGAGCAGAACCACAAAATTGTGGCCCTGTGATAGGAACGTTCCCTTGGGAGTGGGTGAGTGAGAACCTGGATGTCCAGATCTCCCAGGATTGATTTTGCATTTTACAATAAACAGAGAACAAACAAAATGCCTGTACATGTGCAGCTATTCTTCCAAGTGATTAAGCCTGAGCTCTAGGTTCAAACTACAAGTCTGCATGGTGACCTTACATGCTGTCTAAGCCCATCCAGGTAGCAGGTGTCATTCTACTGCTATTTCCGGATAATTTTAGCTCAACAAGTAGCAGAGCAGAGCGGTTTTTTGCCTGACTGAATTCAATGTGAACAAAACATGATTGGCAGATTCTTGTGCTTGGGACCCAAATTCCAGGTACTTGACATATCATTACACCTACAGCAATAAATTAAACATGCCCGGAATGGCTTTCTGACACTTAAGTGAACAGAACAATTCACACTGATATTTTCAAACTTTCTAAATTTCCAGAGTGCCATGTATGCAAACTATCTAGCTGAGATGTTCCCAAGTTCATGTTGATTCTTTAACTGTGTCTGGGACTTACACACAATAAGGCCAGACATTAGTGATGTGCCCCAGGTATTAGTATCAGGGCCAATGCTGTTTAACCTCTTCATTAACAACCTGGAAGATAGGAGTAGTGCAACTTCTGCTCGTTTGTAGACAATACAACACAGGGGAACGGTCGATACACCAGAGGTTTACGCTGCCATTCAGAAAGACATCGACATGGCAGAGAAGAATCCCATGAAGTTCAAAGGGATATGCCAACTCCTGCACCTGGGGACAAATAACCACAGGTACCAGCACACAACATGGACTGATCAGCTAGCTGGAAAGAAGCTTGGCAGAAAAGGCCCTGGCAGTGCTGGTGGACACCAATTTGTATGCAAGCAACACAGCCTTGCAGCAAACAAGGCCAACAGCCTCCTGAGCTGCATTAGGAAGAGTGTTGCCAGCAGGTTGAGGGAGGTGATTTTCCACTCAGCAAACTAGTGAGACATCTGGAGTGCTGGGTCCAGTTCTGGGCTTCCCAGTACAAGAGAGGCATGGACATAGTGGAGCGAGTCCAGCAAACTGCCATGAAAATGATAAATGGATCAGAACATCTGACCTACAAAGAGAGACCGAGAGCTGGGACTCTTCAGCCTGGAGAAGAGAAAGTTCAGGGAGATCTTATCAATGTGCATAAATACCTGACGGGGTAAGGGTAGAAGCAGAGAAGACTGAGCCAAAGGCTTCTCAGTAGCGCCCAAGGAAAGGACAAGAGGAAATTGGCACAAAGTGAAATACAGGAAACTCCATTTACACACAAGGAGGAAAAAAACCCAAACCAACCTGCAAGGGCTATCAGACGCTGGAACAGGTTATCCTGAGAGGCTGTAGAGTCTCTGCCCTTTGAGATATTCAAAACCCAACTAGACATGCTCCTCAGCAACATGCCTTAGTTGACCCTGCTCTGCGCAGTGTGGTTGAAACAGTAGTGTCTCCAGAGGTTCCTTCCAACCTCAGCAATTCTATGCTTCTGCAGTTGTGAACAACTTTACACAGAAAAACTGACACAACTACTCAGACCTTGACATACTACGAAGTTGAAAGCCTGTCTAAAATGTTTTGCACTTCGTATGAAACAGTAACAATCAGCGCACCATTTCAACTTTTGTGGAACTAAATTTCCCACTTGAGTCTGGATCCAGTAACTGTTACAGCAGCTATGCCTACAAACCTTTAACTGGGGACCCACATCTCCATTACGTCAGGGAACCATACCTGTGGTGGAATCGCGTCTTTAATTTCAAGAAAGAGAAGAAAACGTGGTTCTCTTGCATCCACAATGATTAGAATACCTTATATTTGGAAATAATAGAGGAATGAGACAGCTTCTCTCAGACTTAGGATGAAGGTAGCAGCTTCTTGCTTTCCTCAGATGGACTTACCCACCTAACAAGTATAGGAAGAAGTCCATAAGCTACACCAACATTCTGAGCAAAAGCTCAACCTGGTGGACGGACTCTCACTAATACTTCTCCAGCCTGTAGGTTTGATCTGCTAAGCAGAATTGTCAGTCAAATTCCTAAAAAGCCAAAGGGTTTAATGTACCTGTAAAGTTAACATTAGCTGAGCTGGAATTCCAGAACTTCAGGAGGTGCTCAAAAACAAATTTGGCAGTTTATTAAATTTTGGGTTTAGCCATAGTTATTAAAACTAGACCCAAGAGCTGTAGTTCAGGTGCCCATCTTTTAAAATGGAGTGATGAAGATCAAGTTTATGACTGTGTATCAAAGATGGTGGAAATGTACAGATTTTATGAAAAGATTTACTCAGTAACAACAAAACTTTTAGAAACCAAGTCCTAGTCAGACTGAGCAGAATTAAATGTGTAGATCATTATTTGACAAGTCATTTGGTGTACTAAATTATCTTGCTGGAATAACAGGTGAGGAAACACTGTTTTTATCTTGTTCATTTACTTTGTTTACTTCCACGGAAGTTGGCTCCTGGAAAAAGTTTACAAAATTAATTGATACATTTGATAGAATTGCCCTTTCCACCAGCACTGTGTGTATAGACTGTAACTCCAGATGTTACAGAACAATCAGATATTAACATAATTTTTCACGTTTTTTTCCTTTACAAATTAGCATTATAGCGATCTCTGTTCTGAAAGTCTCTGTAAGCGCGTTTTGCATCTGTTTTACTGTGCGGGATTCTTCCAAAAGGTTCCAGATCATTGAAGCAGGCATCAAACACTTCATCCACAGCTTTTTCTGCTGTTTCTTTGCTAACTTTTCTAACAGCCAGAATGGAACGAATTGCTCTGTCTCGTACACAAGTCTAAAGTGGGAATTAGATAAAGAAAAATCTGTCATTATTAGTATAAATAATTTTTTTCAGATTTTGTCAAGTATTAACTCCTACTAATACACAATAATTTTGTATCACAGAAGAGTCAAACAATACTTAATAAGCATTAAAGTACATTTTTGTTCCATCCTGTGTTAACTATGCGTTTTACTTTTCCACGTGCAAATAAATCGTCAGATAAGTAGAAGACATTCCTTAAAACAGGAATTAAAATACAATTTGGCATTTGTTGTAGGTATCAAGTATTTGTACAATTTGACTTGGACACAGGAGAAAATATGTCAGAAAGAAACAGACATAAATATCAGTCAGTACTTTTCCAATTGAAATGCTATAAAACATAAAGGAATGACTCCTCTACTGGCCTTCATTTTGATACCTCTCTTTATGGCAACTTTTGCTTACACAGTTTGTCTACTAAAAGATTAAAAAAAGATGTAAACATCCCCAGCTACAAGCTAACTGCCACTCTAACATGAGCAACTACTTGGGACTCAACCCGTAGTCTTCACCACTATTAAAAAAATTAATTCCTATAAGACTTACCACATGTTGTTATTTAGAACCCTTGTCATTCTCCTTCTTCCAGTTTTCAAAAACTTTTTAGAATTTTACTCACTTATAGTGGGTAAGGTATTCCCACTACATTTCCTGCAAACCCTGTTTTTTTTTGGTTCTTATTAACCATCCATTGTTAGTGGTAATGCTCTACAATATGACTAAGTATTTAGGAATTTCACTCCAACAAAAATAACTAGGTGGGAAAAAAAATTATCATGAGTTATTAAAGGTTATTAAAGGTTAATTAAGAGAAAGCAGCAAGTCCATGGCATCCACTTCTTTCTCTGATGTTTTCAGCTATGAAACTGTAGAAGGCTGAGATCAAGTAGGTAAAGATGGCTCATAACAAATCAGTAGACTTTAACATCTACAGTCTTTACCTGATGGTGTCCTTTTAATCCAAATTTAAACCTGGCTATTTCATTCATCAGTGTACAGTCTCCACTGAGATTAGCAGCTCGAATCTATTGAGAAAAAAAAGCCACATGATCAGAGAAACACATGGAAATACAAAGTCAAAAAAGCTGTAACAAATTCTTTTCTTCAGTGTCTTTCTGGTGACTGCTGGTAGAGAATATTCCCAGGGCCACTTCTACTTATTAAGTACATATTATCCTTTATATGCACCCTCTCAGCCTCAATGAACTGCAAAGTATTACTACAGAACCTGCAAGTTTCTTCAGGGACCAAGTCTCACATACTCCCAAAGCTTACATGAATGAGCAGAAGAGATCATATGTATATGTATGTGTGTGTGTGTATGTGTGTGTATATATATATATGAACAGCTAAAAGAATATGGAAAGTAATTTCTCCCCAGTCTATATCGGAACCTGATACAAAACTCAGGAAGAAAGGCAGATACCCTTCAAAGGCTACAGCTGCAATACCCAGAAAGGCAGTAACCCACCTACTTTAGGAAAAGCCACATTTAAATGAGTATGTATGTTTTAGTTTGTTAACAATCTTGTCCTGTGCACTGTAATTTCTTTTGTCTGCCAACTATTCCACAACTTACCCCCTCTGTTATGAAATATAACTAAAACTAGATTTCCTACAATCAAGTACCAGAGTGAGAATAAATGCATGGAAAATAAGAAATGTAAGAATTAAAAAGCTGGCAATAAAAATTGTAAACACCATATAATAAAATAAGTATCAAAAGACCTGAAGCAAACAAATAATCTCAACAAGAGCAAGAACAAGCACAATCTTGTTTTATATATGTTCTCTAGTTTTATGTTTGAGGTTTACATGCTTTATTCTGCACTGTGTAAATGCTTAGACAAAAAAAAGTAGATGATAGATAGTAATTCTGAATTATTGTATTGGGTTTACATGGCAAGATGTTGGCAGTGGGGGGCCTGCCGGGGTGGCTTCTGTGAGATGGAACAAGGGACTGTGCCCGTGTTGGACAGAGTCAGTTTCAGCTGGCTCTAAAACAGACCCAACACTGGTCAAAACTGAGCCCATCAGTGGTGCCAGTGGTACCTCTGTATTGACATACTTAAGAAAGCATAAAAAACACTACATGGCAGCTGTGAGAGAGAGGAGTGAGAAAAACAAGAGTAGAGAAACAGCCCCACAGACACCAAGATCAGTGAAGAAGGAGGAGGAGGAGGTGCTGCAGGCACCAGAGCAGAGATTCCCCTGCCACCTGTGGAGAAAACCATCGTGACACAGGTTGTCTCCCTGCAGTCTGGGAAGGAACACAGTGGAGCAGATATCCACACTGCAGTCTGAGGAAGACCCCACGCCAGAGCAGATGGACATGCTCTGAAAGAAGCTGCAGCCCAGGGGGAGCCCACGCAGGAGCAGGTTTTCTGGCAGGAACTGTGGCCTGTGGGGAACTGAGGCTGGAGCAGTCCATTCCTCAAAATCTGTACGCTGTGGAAAGGACCCAAGCTGGAGCAGGTCTTGAAGAACAGCAGCCCACGGGAAAGACCCACGTTGGAGCAGTTCATGAAGGACTGTATCGCATGGGAGGGACCTCACACTGGAGCAGGGGAACAGCGTGAGGAGGAAGGAGCAGCAGAGACAAAGTGTTATGAACTGACCGCAGCCCCTGTTCCCCATCCCCCTGTGCCGCTTTGGGGGGAAGGACATAGAAGACTGGGAAATGAAGGAGCGAAGTTGAGCCTGGGAAGAAGGGGAGGTGGGGGGGAAGGTATTTTTAGTTTTATTTCTCACTATCCTACTCTGTCATTAATAGGCAATAAATCTTCCCCAAGTCAAGTGTATTTTGCCCATGACGGTAACTGGTGAATGACCTCCATGTCCTTATCTTGATCCACAAGCTTTTTTATCTTATTTTTCTCCCCCATCCTACTGAGGAGGGGGAGTCAGAGAATGGCTTGGTGGGTGGGTGCCTGGCAGCCAGCGAAGGTCAACACCCCACAGTTATACAGAATGGCTTTACTGATACCACATAAGGTTTCTTCATTAAGTTTTATCTACAAAAAAAGATAATACGTGACTGTGACTCTCTTCCACAGCAAATATGAATTCAGTTAATGAATTAAAATTAATTTTTATGAAATCTAATTTTTTCTGTACCAAACTTGTCATTTTGGTTCTCTCACATACTGTTTATAGGTGAAACCTGTGCACATCTTGAGTTTGGAATCAAATATGTTCTCATTAAAAACAAACAAAAAAACCTCACAACCAAAAAAAAAAACCCAAAACAAACCCACTATAACGTTTTTATATAATTTTATATATTTTTAAAAAACAGTTAAAAAGCCACCTAATTCACACAGTCACAAGAATGTACTTTCATAATATTAATCATAACGGTAAGTTTTTCTGTGGTCAAATGATATGGATTATATCAGAAATCAACTAAAAGCATGAGAATACACACGAGTCGTATACACAAGAGGAATCTTTACTAGCCTGTGCCCAGTTTAATTTCACCTCCTAATGCATCAGTCTTTAAGGCCTTTCAAGCAGCAAATTCCTACGTCCTCTGAAATGGACATGGAGTCATAACTAAAGTGTACTATTAGCAACATCACAGTTAATCAAAAAATGTATGTTATAGGAAAAGACAAGTTTGTTGTCAACCAAAAAAAATTAAACAAAAATAAGATTACCATACTACTGTGATAACTACCCAACATACCAAGATTTGGTATGCATGGAGAAAATGAACCCTATAAGCATTTGATTAATGTGTGAATGTGTTTTCATTTGGCCAATGGGGTATTCTATACCATGTGACCTCATGCTCAGTATAAAAACCAGGTGTGTGGGCGGGGTCGCCCCCCGTTCGTGACACGCGGTCGGCAGTCGGTGAGCAGTTGCATTGTGCATCGCCTGCTTTGTATATTCTGTTATTGTTGTTGTCCTCAC